AGATCATACAAGTATCTGTATTTAGTCCCACTTAAATCCATTACTATGAGATTTTTATATAATATAAGAAAATAATAATAATAATAATAATAATAATAAAACATGAGAATTGCATTCATAATATAATTTTTTCAATAACTAACATAGATTTTAGTAAGGAAAAACAGATCATACAAGTATCTGTATTTAGGCCCACTTAAATCCATTACTATGAGATTTTTATATAATATAAGAAAATAATAATAATAATAATAATAATAATAAAACATGACAACTCCAATTCTTATGCAATCCTTAAGAATAGATAACTTGACAACTAATTGAGGAGATTATTAGAGAATATTGACTTCTTGTTATATCACATTTTTTAAATTTATTTAAAAATTATCTTTAAATTTGATGTTATAGAGAACTAATAAACTCCATATATCATACAAATCAATTAACTACAACAAAACCTAGAGAGGATAAAATCCTTATTGAGAATATAAAGATGAGGGTTTTTTCTTTGGGAGGGAGGGCGCAGAGAAACTAGAATTAGTTTTTAATGTTAAATGTAGTGTCTTTTTTTTTAATACATTGAGACTGCTATATAATACTATATTTATATTTTCTCTGCGCCCTCCCTCCCAAAGAAATTGAGGGTATGATAAAATATAATAATTGATAATACCCTCAATTATGATAATAAAATATAGTGTTATTATCATACCTAGTAATTGAGGGTATGATAAAAAAAATATACTAAATTAGTTTGTTATACCTAAGTGATGTTATTATCATATTCTTAATTACGAATATCATACTTTTTTATATAAATTTATTATTATACCCCTTAATTTATTAAGTAAAAAATATAAAATTTTGAAAAAAAATGTAATATAGATATATAATAGACAATCAAATTAAAAAAAATAGGACATTAACTATTTAGATATAACAATAACCTCATCTTATATAATGGGATATATAATATTTTTCTATTCTAAATCTTTCTCCACAAGTTCAAAAGGTTCAAATTGCGCGTTTTTATTTGAAGTCTCCTACTTTTATTAATTAAGATATCCTTTTTGGAGACATTTATTGTTTTATTGACTATTATTTGATTGATATTAATGAATTATAAATATAAATAAATACCCTCAATTATGATAATAATTGATAATAAATTAGTTTTTCTTTGCTAAGTAAGAAAAACTAGGTAATGTTATTATCATGCCCTTAATTATTAAAAAAAATTATTTAGATATAACAATAATTAATAATTGATAATAAATTAGTTTTTCTCTGCTAGGTAAGAAAAACTTGGTAATGTTATTATCATACCTTTAATTATTAATACTATATTTTTTTATATAAATTTATCATTATATCTCTTAATTTATTAAGAAGTAAAAAATATAAAATTTTGAAAAAAAAA